GAGAGAGAGAGAGAGAGAGAGAGAGAGAGAGAGAGAGAGAGAGAGAGAGAGAGAGTACGTCGACGCTCTGCACGGCGCGCTCATGATGCTCCGTCAAATATTGCCGTGGAATTTATTACACGAACGTTCTGAAAATTGGCGAGAAGATAATACAATTAAAAAATAACATACAGGATCGACGGAAGGCAATGTATAGTACCGTTGCATAGAATCATCTCTTACTCCGTATATTTTGAAATATTTGTCGCGCTACGTCTCTTGCAGTGTCTCTTGACATATTTATTTCGCATTCACTTGTCGTTACGTTCGTCCGCTGTGCACGCGGATAATTTATCGCGTTATTTACTCAATTCGAATACTTTATTTGGAAACGCAATTGGAGAGTTTATTCTCGAATTAACAAGACACGCGCGTGATAGCGTCGCAAATGTTGACACGTTGATTTCACGTCGTTTATTCGTGCAACGAATGGTACTGACCTTTGCGAGATAAGATAGTGGCCAATTTAAGTAACTCGGTCCCACGGTACCACTAATGTCGTCGCTGACGAACGCGAGCTCGTGGCTCGAAACATCGTCTCTTTAAAATACAAGAGCAGCCGAGTCTCGTCGCTGATACGTCGCAGCGCTCTACGCCCGTTAACGAGAGAAAAGTAACAAAAAATCGTCACGACATTTCGTGGTTAACGAGGAAGTAAGACAGAACAGTACACAACGGGCTCCATTGATAGGGCTCCTCGCGACTGGCGCTTAATTGCGCGCCAAGTTTCGGGGAGATATCAGTTTGGGAACAGCTCGTGAAGACCACTCTCATTACGCCGTGCATTTATCTGCGACGCACAGTACAGTGAAACGAGAGAGGACCTATTTGTCCGAAGTCACTTCCCGCATTTTCTCCCTCCACCCTTCCGCTCCCAAAGAGAGACTGCCGTTCTACATTCGAAATTTCCGGGATCTCGCTTCCGCGAAGTACCGATGATTTAATGCATTGTGCGTATTTGAGAGCGGCATGCTGACAGTGCTGAAGATTAAATGCATTTCGTATCTCGCGAGATCGTATCCCGCTCTCCCGTATCTCCAACGAGAACCTTGTAAAGTGATTGTTTACTGACAAAAAATCTGCGAGTGTAATCGTAATGTATAGGTGTGATTAAGATAAGCGTGTTTCACAACCGGTGTATCAGTCGCTGTAAATGTTGCGAAATTGCATCATTGTCGTGTCTAATTTTATCAGTTCGCTTTATTACGATATCGACTAGCATAATGCGGCTTTTTGCCGACGCTGGTATCGTAATTGAATAATTTTAACAATATAGGCTACATGTGTATGTGTGTGAAATCTAGACATCTCACCTCTGATTTCATCTTCTTGATATATAAATTCACACTTTATTTTATTTAGATCAGTGCTCGGAATTAGTTGCCCATTTCGGCCGATTCTCGGAAGCTACGCCTTCTATCTTCCCCTTATCGCGAGTGGGTCACAAAAATGACGGTCGAGTCTTCAAGCTTGAAGCCGCGACTGACCGCGACCGTTATTTTCGTGGCCCGCTCGCGGCAAGGGGAAGATAGAAGGCGTAGCTCCCAAAAATCGGCCGAAATGGGCAACTAATTCCGAGCTCTGATTTAGATCAAACATACATACCCATACAACAAGTGAAACGATACTTTAATATATTGCATTACATAATATTGTGTCTTATAATGTAATATATTCTATTGTATTCATTAAATATGTCTCTCAACAGCGATAGCTGGCTTGTATTTCACAGTACGTTCATTTATCGTTAGGAATGAGTAAAATTATTGCTAGTGAACAAAGTCATTCGATAAATCACAGTGACCTGGGCAGAGACATTTACGCATCGTAAAAGAGATTCCCGCGACGAAAGAACGCGAGTAAAACGAGTGCCCTCTCATTATGAATTAACTAAATCGTTCGGCAATTCGCTCTAAATATCGCAGACTCAACGCTTTGTCGTTAGTTCCTCTTGGATCCGCTGCAACGATTTGCCTTTTGTCTCAGGCACGCAGAGTAGCGTGTACGGAATCGCGGTGAGCAGTAACACCGCGTAAATGAAGAACACGTACTTCTCAGTGAGCAGGTCGATGAGAGGCTGATAAGTCGCCGTGGACAGGAAAGAGAAGATTCCAGCGGCGATGCTAGAGAAACATGCGGCCACGCATTTCACATGCGATGGGAAGATCTCGCCTAATATCGTGTTGGGTATCGAGAGCAAACCCATGAAGACAGAAACCTGTAGCAATATTGTCGCGAAGATTGGCAAACCCTGCAAAACCGCGGCGTCGTAACTCGCGTCGAGAAGTTGGAAGTGTATGCCAAGACAGATCACCGAAATTGCGCAAAGCAGAGTGGAAGTGATCATCAGAATCCGCCGGCCGAACCTATCAATAAGGAACATGGAGAACAGAGAGCTAGCGATTCCAAAAGCTGAGACGATAATCACGACTATCGCTGGCTTAATGACGGTCACTTGCGCGCTTGTCAGGATGGTCTCCATGTAGAAGGCTACGTTGTTCAAGCCGCACATCATGCTGTACATGAAGAGCACCGTTACGAGTATTAGCGCCTTTTTGATGTGCGGGTCTTTGAATTCCTTGAGAACATCCAAGAAGGACAGATTGTTGTTCATCTCGACGAACTTTTTCAAAGACTGCAATTCCATGTCCACGTCGCAGTCGCGATGGTACCAGAGTAGTGACAATCGCGCTTTGTCATCTTGTTTGGTCTTGACGAGATGGTGCGGAGATTCTGGTAACCAGATGAATATGGCTATCACTATGATACAAAGCAGAAGGCACACTGTGGCGGAAACTTCCATCGTTAAGTACGCGCCCATGATAGAAATCAGCAGATTGCCTATCGTTAGTCCGCTCATAGCTGCAAATAGAACGTGCTCCTGGTTAATGTTCATGTATAATCATCTATTGTTATCATTTGCAACACTCGTATTTTTTCACAGAAGTTTTTGGCCTCTAGTAACACATTTGACTTGTGTGAACTTGGCACACCATATTTAAAAATGTGACATTTTTTTTAGAGTTCTAATACTCTCTTGAAAAGTTCTAGAGCTCTATGCAACAATTTTAAATAGTTCCGGTCATTAAATACAAAAAAATAGACTTTTAAAAAAAGATGCGCTAAGTTCACGCAGCGCACCTAATCAGTAAAATCAACTATTTCTTTAGAGTTCCGTTTGTTTTACAATAGTTCTAGAGTTCTATATCATATATAACAATAGTTCTACTAATTAAAAGCGAAAAGTCGATTTGCGAAGACCTAATTCACAAAATGTGAAAATACCGACAACAAAATAAGAGAGATTAACACTATTTCGCGAGTTCTGCATATTTGAACATATTTTCAACATTCACTTGTAATCAGGGAATGAAAATATAAAGAGTTTTATGCGATAGCAGAAATAATTTCTTCATAAAAAATTATAAAGTGTTCGAGGTCGCGTAACTTTAGCAGCAGGAGAGGTGCGCCAGCCGCATTTTGAGAGTTCCATTGGTTTAAAAATATTTTTAACGTTTACTTATGATCAGAAAACGAATGTCCAAAGAGTTCTGCGCGACAGCAGTAATAATTTATTTATAAAAAATCTTATAGTATTCGAGGTCGCGTATATTTACGAGCAGGTGGGATGCGCTTGCGAGTTCCGTCGGTTTAAAAATATTTTCAACGTTCACTTGTAATCAGGGAATGAAAATATAAAGAGTTCTGCGCGATTGCGGTAATAAATTATTTATAAAAAATTATATAGTGTCCGAGGTCGCGTAAATGTACCAGCAGCTGGGGTGCGCTAGCCGCAGTTTGAGAGTTCCATTGGTTTAAAAATATTTTTAACGTTCACTTATGATCAGAAAACGAACGTCCAAAGAGTTCTGCGCGACAGCGCAAATTATTTTTTATAAATAATTTATTACCGCAATCGCGCAGAATTCTTTATATTTGCATTCCCTGATTACAAGTGAACGTTGAAAATATTTTTAAACCGACAGAACTCTCAAAGCGCAGGTAGCGCACCCCACCTGCTCGTAAATGTACACGACCTCAAATATTATATGATTTTTTATAAATAAATTATTACTGCTGTCGCGCAGAACTCTTTGGACATTCGTTTTCTGATCATAAGTGAACGTTAAAAATATTTTTAAACCAATGGAACTCTCAAA